TGTACGAAATTGATTCTCCCTACTCCAAAACTGTTTATTCTTTAGTCTTTAACAATCTGATGAATGAAAAAGGCAGTAATTTACCACTCATCCACTGCCTGTTTTTTTACTGAGTTCTTACCTTTTTCCTCATTGGAAAAAGTTCTTTTGCATATTACTGACCAACTCTTGTCATTTGTTGCAATTTAAAATTCAGGAAATTTGTGTTAACTATTACTGGATGAGAATGCATTATCAATTTAGAAGTTCCAAATATTATCTAATTAGCTATAAATAAAGACAATACCCAATGTGAAGAAATGGCAATTTATTAGAATTTTTGTATTTCTCTTCCACTCTTTTCTTAAATCCCAGCATATGGTCTTAAGAAATAAAGTAAACAAGGATTTAACTTGCTTTACCAACCACATGTAGAGAGTGTTTTATATGCACAGCAGTGGTTAAGAGCATAGACTTTGGAGCAAACTGTCTGGGTTGGAATCGCAGATCAACCGTTAACGAGCTGTTTTGGGCAACTTAATCTTTCAGTTTTATCATCTGTAACATGGGGACTAAAAAAGAACTTACTTCTTAAGTTTGTTAGGAAGATTAGATGAGCTAATATTTGCAAAATACTTAGAATCTGACAAGGTGAGTGCTTTATCAACACAGGCCGAGTGTTGCCTGGTGTACATAAAAGTGGTCATCAGTTCAATATAGCATTTATTAGTGTTCTGTGTATCAGCACTCCAGTTCTTAAGACAGAGTAATAATAACTAGAGAAGCTTACAGTCTGGAGTGAAAACAAGCAAAAAGTAAAATATGATAATGGCTATAATTGGTGAGAGGGACAGTTGGCCCACTTTGCAGGGAGAGGAGAGGGCTGAGGAGGCAGTTCAGCCTGGGGGAAGTGACAGCTAAACCGCATCCTGGGTGACCAACAGCAGAACTTAAACCATTGGAATAAGATAAATCATGGAAGGTTACATGAGGTAAAGGCATGGGCGTGCTGGGCCATGCAGTTGAGACAGGCAGACAAGGAGTCTTGAGTACGCTTGAAATTTTTCCCCAAGTTATACCCCCTCTTCCTTTTGCTCAATGTCCTAACTGCAATTACAATGGTAAGTGTTTTACATTAGTAAGGTTTATTACATTACTAAAACCAGAATACTCTTCTCGAAACAACTGGACAGTGCTAAAGTGCTACATCTGCTCATTTTAATGACTTTCCATTGTTACAACTCCTGTTTCCTAATAACTTGCCCTTCACAAACCTTTGTTTCTCTCACTGCTTTAATATGGAATATTTGCAAATTTGAGAAACTTTATTATCATTATCTTCATTATTACTGGAAGCTCTGTAATTTTGAAAACTGCCAATTACTACCAATGCCAACTGAATAAAGTGCGATGCCATCACTGTGTCTGGGCCTCCAGGCCTTGACTAGACTCCACTCTTGGTGCTTACCACTTCGTCCCCAGTCCCCAGCACTTCCACGCTGCTCTAGTTTCCTCTCATCACCAGATGGAATGACAAGGATCAGGGTTTGGAGAGTCTGTGCTCAAGGAGAAGGTCCTCCTAGTATGTCTCCAGGCCTGTTGATCCATGCTACTTCCAGGGCAAGTGGCTGCTCCCCATCTCCGCTTCCACAGCGCCTGCATTAGGTCCTTGTTCCCTCGCCACACTGCATCTCTGCTAATCCATTCTCTTCTTAGGAGTAACAGCTTTATTGGATAAAACTCACATGCTGTAAAATTCGCCCTATCAAGTGTACAATTCAGTGGGTTTTTGTAGTCTGAGTTGCGCTCTAATCCATTCTGTATACTACTGCAAGATGAACAGTTCTAAATGGCATTTATTTCTTGAGCAATGACTGCAAGGTGTGATGCTGTACACTGGACATGTGCCAGTGAAGGACAGGAACACCCTTCCTGTCCTCAAGTGTACCGTGAAGAACAGAATGAGGAGATTCATTTTGGACACCCATCAAACATTATTTAAAGTTGAGTTATATATGGGATATCCAAATAGACCTCAGTTGTTCATTAGATGCAGTTAGTTACGCTAGTCTGAAATCTGGGGAAAGTCTGGGATAATGTGTTATATTAGGGTGTCATCTTTATACAACTATTCATGAAAACCAGTGGAGTGAATCATATGAAAAAAGAAAAAATGCTTTGAAAGCAAGCAAGGGCCTTACAGGATAAACCAAATACTTGGTACAACTGAAACCAGGGTTCTGGGTTCTCATTTTGGGAGAAGGGAGATATACATGTGAAATGGGAAGAGATTAGAAATATGTAAGGCTTAGATTTGAATCAGAGGCATCAGTATGTACTTTAGACTTTAAAAATATTCATATTTTTAGTTACTTTCACTAAAAAGCCCTTGAAGTAATGCTACCCCTGAAATAATGGAGGTCAGCTAGCACTCATCCTCCTCTTCGTTTCTAACGACTATTCCTCACTTCAAATGATGGCTAATTCCAAATCCAGGGTAGCAGGGAAAGCATAAGGCGAATCTGGAAACTTGTGCCATAAAGGAAATGCCCAGCAAAAAGGGTGGCATGTTAGAACACTGCAGCTGGCCTGATAGAGCTCCCACTGGCCAAATCCCGGACAATGGAAGCCGCATGAGAACGATGGTTAGGGATGAGAATTTACCCCTGCATCAAAAAGATCCCTGACCACACCCTAACAGCATACGGGAAATAGGGAGGAACTTTACAGAATGTCTGCTAAAGCAGAAAAAATGATGAAAAGAAACACCACTGCTCTGCAACCAGCAGTGTAATAACTGACTCAGTGAGAGATCAGAAATGGATGCTCATAGAGCCACTGGGGTGAAAGGTCATAGAGAAGGTTATATAGATTACTTATTAATTTCAAAGTTCAAGGGGAGAAAAAAAAAAAGACCTCACAATGGAGACATCTGGCAGATACTACCTTTACAAATGACCAAACTTTGTCACCAGTAATGGGACAAACTGACTCCTGATACTATACAGCAGAAAGCACAGATCACCTGTGTAGGGGTTTTAGTGCCAAAAATGTTGAATTTGAACCTAATTAAGTGAGAAAATCAGGCAAATATTGTATGTCATTCTGTAAGATAACTGTCCTAGACTTTGCAAAAACATTGATGTCCTAAGAGACCAAAACAAAAGCCGTAAAGACCCAAATCCACACAAACACTGGCAGGAGGGGGATCTGATCCTACTGAGATGAGGAGACATGGCAACTAAATGCAATGAGTGACTCCAGATTATATCCTGGATTGAAAAAATTTAAAAGCTATGAAAGGCATTTGGGGACTGTGGGGAAATCTGCATTGCCCTGTATAATGGACGATATTGGACAGTCTTGTGCTGTGGTGATAATGGTGTGGTGTACCCGAAGTTGCACTGCTCCTCTCAGCCCTCCCTTCAACAGGACTGAAGGACATACCCCCAGCCTCCAGGAATGCTGTCAGCACACAGCTCTCAGCTGTCAATCATCTTAGCAACTGCCTCACCTGGAGATGGCCCTGCCAAGGTCATGGCCGCTCCTGTCAGCCCATAGCCACTGCCTGCCTATGGCCAAGTACAATGCAGGCCCCTTGCCTGAACCCAGGCCTACCCTGAAGGGCTACCTCAGCTTTAAAGCTGAAGTCTCCTTTGAGGGTGGGCTTCAGCCCAGCATCTCCGTGCCCAAACCCTCCTTCCTTCCCTTCCCCAGGTGGTGATCCCAAGAGCACTCCCCTGCAGACTCAGCTCCATCTCAGAGACTGCTTCCTGGAGAGTCCTACTTGGGACAGTATGTACTAGAAGGGTTTGGGGGAGCAGATACCGAGAGGGCACTTGGGAGTTGGATCAGCCACCTGGTTGGCCATGAGGACTTCAGCACTGATGGGAGAGAGCCCCCACCCCAGGAGAGCAAGTAGTTCCTCAGTGTGCAGGTTGTCAAACTCACCAATGGTGGTGCAATACTGGAAACAAGCTGGTACGATGTATCAGTGTTTAGAGATTCCAGAAACGTGGGGATAATGGGACCCTAAAATAATAGAGGCTGGGTGGCAGTGCTTAACTGCTTATCAGTTAGCAGCCAGGTCAATGAACTACCATGAGAGTGGCAGAGGGCAGATCACAGGCTGCCCGGGGTGAAAGCCAACAAGTGAGCTCTTCAGTCTGTATAATCAAAGCAATTCAAGGATAGGTAATTAAGTGGCAGGGGGCTGTCACCCCAATAGCCAGCCAAGAAACCCCATTCAACATCTGGATCTGAGCCAGTTTTTAGACTGAGTCTTCTCTGGTGCAACACACTGGGCACCAGAGAAAGGGAATACCCAAATATTCTGAGGACTGCTGGACAAAGTGGTGGAGCTGAGAGTGAAGCCGGAAATACAGTCTTCATTGGCCTGTTAGAATGGGGCATATGAAGCCAAGTGACACACAGTCTTGGCTCAGGGCCAGCCCACACTGGGTCCCTGGGTTGAAGGATTCACTCAGTTGTTCAGACAACAGTACAAACTTCCCTTCAACTTGGGCCACATAACCTGCTTGACCCTATATTATTGGAGGTATCCATGATGGAAAAAAACACTCCATGTAGAGCTGACAGCAAACTCTAATGGGTAAACAGCAATGCAGACCCTAGGGTTCTAGAGTAAGGCCATGACAACGTAGTAGAGAACTATATATCCGATTATAACCCTTGTTATTATAAACCAGCTCCTGGCATGCTACTAAGCACTGGTTGAGATGGTGTCTTACCATGGGACACCATGGAACTATGAAGCCAGAACTGCCCGTCACAAACTGGCCATATCAAAAGGCCCAGCCTAGCTGCAATCCACCATAAGACTAATGGTATGTCAGGACATGTTATGACCAGGGATGGGAGGAGGGAGAGTGGGGATGGTTGGGGGGAGCATAGCTGCAGAAGGTGAAGGCTGGCCAGACCCCAATGTCCTTCATTAATGTTACACAGTCCCCTCTCCCTCACTTCACACTAGTGGCTTCAGGCAGGTTTCTTATCATCAGTTAATGAAAAGCCAAGCTTAGTTCATAGATGAGCTAGTTCAGTATATGGATGTGAGTCAAAAAATGCACTGTTGACTGTGGCCTCAGCCTCACTCCTTATGGCTCTGGAGAACAGTAGTGAGGGCAAATCTTTCCAACTGGCAGAGCATATGGCAATGTGTAACCCACTTACCTGCCACATCAACACTGACTCCCAGGTATGGGCTGAACTGTGTCCTCTGTCAATTCAGATGTTGAAGTCCCAAACCCCAGTATCTCAAAATGCGGCTATATTTAAAGACAGGGTTTTTAAATAAGTAATTACATTAAAATGAGACTGTTAGGGTGGGCCCCAATCCAAACCACCTGGTGTCCTTACAAGAATTAGAAGACACCAGGCTTATGCATACACAACGAAGACCAGGTGAGAACGGAGCAGGTGGGCAGCTGTGCTCAAGCCAAGGAGATAGGAAGCCTCAGTGGAAATCAGTCCTGCAAGCACAGATTTTGCACTTCCAATTTCAACTGTGAGAAAACAAATGTCTGTTGTTTAGGCCCCCCTCAGTGGCATTTTGCTATGGCCATCTGAGCACACTACATATTTTCTAAGGAGACCAGCCAGTCATTTGTTAGCAGGTTGATTGCAGTGGCCCCCTTTTACACCAGAAAGAGCAGATATTTGTTTATATCCCAAGTATATACAGATTTGCCTTTCCTGCTCACAGTGCCTGATGTACCAGTGTTCCATTTCATGCTGTCAGACCATGGGATCCAGTTTATAACAAAGGAGGTTGACCGTGGAATTTGCTGGTCATTCTACATGCCATCTACTAGTCATTCCACATGCCACCCTGAGAAGCTGTCAGCCTGGCAGAGCCATGACATGGCCTTGAAGGTGCAGCTAAGGCACCAGCTCACACGCAATGCCCTGTGAGGATAGGATACAGATCCCCAGGATGCTGGGTACACTGTAAGTCGTAACTTGTCCGTGGTGCTGGGTTCCCAGAAAGTAGAGGGCATGGGATGGAAGCCAGAGTTTCCCCACATACCATCACTTGCAGTAACCCAGCTGGGAAATTGATTTTCTGGTCTCTGCAACTCTAGCTTCTCTAGGTTGATAATTCCAATTTCCAAAAGCGGGAAAGCATCCCTCCGGGGGGACAGCAGGAGTCCCACTGAAATATTGGCTACAGTTGCATTTCGGCCACAAGCCAGCATGCAAAGAGGCACGGCGTGGGTATGAGTAACCGACCCTAGTGGTCAGGAGGACCTGCTACAGTGGGCGGCCAGGAATGTTCGGACCCAAGGACACCTCTTGGTACCCTGCTGCCCAGTGTTGATGGTCCATGGACCAGCTCAACAGCCACTGTCTCCAAAGAGCATAAAAACAAGGGGCGCAAACATCCTGCGTATGAGACCAGGTAAGCAAGCCATTGAGACCAGCAGCGGTGTTTACTAAGGTGAGAGGAACCTAGAGGACGGTGGAGAATATGATGGATCTTAAGTCTTCCGGTGACCCCATCAATTCTGCACCGAGGCCACTGCAGCTCAATTTACGTATTTTATTTGTGGGCAGAAGCGAGACCGTATCAGACCCACGTGTAGAAGAGCGCCGAGGTTCCCACGCCCCGAATCCCGTCCCTGCACTCACAGCCTCTCGAGTTCCCTCTGCTCTCGAACACTCGCATTCCAGCCTCACACCCCGGCCCGTCCTTTACCCACAGCCCCCGGCAGGCCCTCCTCTTGTGCCCCCGGCGGGCCCCAGGAAACCGCCGCCCGCGTGCAGCCCCCGCCCCGCCCTGTTTCCCGCAGCCGCCTAGGCCCGGGAGTCGATGCCGACGCCATCGCTCTGCTCCCTGGGGTGGAGCTTCCGCATCGGCGCCCTCAGTACTCGGCTAGTGCTGCCTCACCCCGGCGACCGTCCAGCGGGAGGCGGAGCGAGTCCAAAATGGCGGCTCTCAGGCTGGCGCGCTCCGTGCTGCTGGGGCTTTGAGGTGGTCGCCAGGGGTCGGGGACGATATCCCCGCCGCGGGGGTCCTAGAGGATGAATCGGGGGCTCTGTTAAGGGTAGGCGGTGAGGTGGAGAGAAGTGGCAGCGAGGGCTGCGGTGGACTCCACGAGCGGGATGTGCGAGAGTTACTCCAGGTCGTTGTTGATGGTCTCGGTGGCGCAGATCTGCCAGGCGCTGGGCTGGGACTCGGTGCAACTCAGCGCCTGCCACCTTCTCACAGACGTGCTGCAGCGCTATCTGCAGCAGTTGGGACGGGGCTGCCATCGGTACTCCGAGCTCTGTGAGTACTGGGCTGGGGGCGGGACGGCAGCCTCTAGCGGGTCACAGTGACACCTCCGGTCTTCCCTTCGCTATCTCGCCGTCTCCGAGGTGTTCGTCTTTCACCCCTACTCAGAGATCGGGTATTTTCCCGTCCCCGACGCCCCTGGGCTTCCAGTAGCCCCTGGAAACTCTAGTCATCCCTCTGGTGCCTCTTCCTCATCCGCTAACTTCCCTGTCTCCGCTCTCGGCTCCACACCATCTCGCCTCTTCTCTGATCAGAAATGTGCATCGGTCTTTCTCATCCTCTCATTTTTGCTGCGTGTAGAACCACCTCCAGAATGCCTTACAGCTTCTTTTACTTTGGTCCTTTTCCTCCCTTGCCCGCAAACTACTATAACTAGTTGTCACAGGCGCTCCGTCTACCGGCCGTTTCTTACAAGGCTGGCCATTCTTCAGCTCCTAACAGCAGACTCGTTGACAGCTCTGCTCGCTTAGGGACACTGCCTCATCTTTCTGTATCTGTTCATTTCATAGACAGCATCTCTTCTTACTCTTTCCCAAGGGCAGTTTGTCAGTTTCACTTAGATTACCTTTCACTTTCATTTCAGTTACCATTGATTTCCTTTTTTAAAGTTTTACGTCAGTGTTTATCAAAGTGTGGTAGAAGGATCATGTGCAGGTAATCTGGGCTACAGTATTTATGGTTTTTAAGTGAAATGTTCAGTAGTATTATAGCTGGTGACAGTTAATAATTTGGAATATTTAATAGAAGCCACAATGATATCACTGATGTAAAAGTAAGTGTACGTGTGTGTGTGTGTGTAGGTGTGGAAGAAACTACGCATTTTAAAGTTTCAGGTCATTATTTTTAAGGTGGTAAGCTGGAGAACTGGGTGAAGTGTTTCTTAAGATATTTTGTTTCATTACAGTGGTTCTTAGACTGAAAAATTGAGACCCACAGATACACTTTACATCTTAGGCCCCAAATTCCATTTCACCTTCCAGCTTGCCAAAATAATCTGTCCACAACACATCCCGTCATGTCATTCTTAAAAATATTTCAGTTGTGCTTCATCAGTTACAGGCGGAAAAATCTAAACTCTCAAACAGCACACAGATCCATTTGTGAGTCAGTATTTTTCTTATCTTCTGCCTGAGCCACCTGCCTTTTCCAAAACAGTTAAAGCTATCCACTCCTATATGGATACTGTTTCCTAGAGTCTCCTTTATCCCCTAGTCCACCAGTAGTACTACTTATATTTTAAGGTTCACTCATCATTTGCTTTAGGAAACTCTTGTTATTTGCTGTCATAATACTGAGTATACTGTTAGTGTTATCCATAGTCCAGATTATATTTTTGTTACCAAGTCCCTAAGTAAGGGCAGATGTTCTGTACCTTGAGGTAATCAAAACATCCCTTGAATACATAGTTACCCTTCGTGCCTTATACACAGAACTAGAATGTGTGCTGGCGCTACAAGTAACCAGGTGTTCCAAAGTCATCAAGCCATCATCCTGAGGTGTTAATATAAACCTCTTTCCCGATTACTCAATTTCTGTAGTCAGTTTCCTCGCTTTTAGTGAGAATGTGATTATCAGGTTCATTATTTTCCATTGCGGTTTGCTACTTTTTAAAAATGCTAATTCCTGGCATGCTTATTAGTTACAGACTTTGTAGATTCTTTTTTTCCATACTGTCCTTATTTCAGATTTGCATTCTGTAGCCTCAGGTTATCACTATACAGTCTTGTATTCTGCTCCTTTAAATCCTTGTCTTTTTGGCAAATGTTTATTGGCACCATTTATGACCTGAGTACTGTGCTAGGTGTTGAAGACATAAAATTTCTAAGGCACAGTCCTGGCCCTAAGGTATGCACAAGTGTGTCAAAAGTCAGCAGAAACAAACCGACAGTGTTTGTTCCTTTTTAAAAAATTGCACTCAGATTAAAGCAAATATCAGAAATTACTATTAATTCAACAAATAATGCATTTTTAAACTTAACAATTTGTCAGAACATTCAGGGGCAGATTATATCTATACTTTATATTGTGCATTAAATATGTGTGTGTGCGCTGAAAGTAGGGGCTGAATCTTTCAGAATGGCTTTAAGACTAGTACTGTAACTTAGTAATTGCATGGTATAGGCAATAAATGCAAAAAGAATAAGGTAAAGGAAAGATGGATGTGATGGTGCAGGATAACTTCACAGGAAAGATGAGATTTGAACAGAGCTGTGAAGCATAGTTGTATAAAGGTGGGGAGCACACTGCGTTAGAGAAGAGCATAACCTCAGATATCCAAGTGGTATTAAACAGGATAAAAATACCACTGAGGTGGCCATCTTGACGTATGTATCTAGTCCATTTGGAAGGTATTAGAGGAAAGTGTTAAACAGTAATTTAACCGATAGAGAAACAAAACATGGTGGAAAACGCTGTATACGCTTTAGGAGAGTTGGGGGACAGAGTGATGAAAGTGATATTTGAAGGAAATTGTGCTGCCAGTGACATGCATGGGAGACTCATTTGGGGAGAACTGGAACCTGTGCTGTGGCAGTGATAGGAGAAATAGAGACAAAGAAAAAGTCCTGAAATCCATGGCCATAAAATGGGAAGGGGAAAGTACCAAGGTTTTGGGTTGAAATTGCAAAGTATATGGAAGAATTCAAGATGATTGTATTTTTTTGATGGAAAAAAGTAGTAATATTCATTGGGCATTTACTTTGAGTCAGTCATTGTTCTAGATGCTGTTGACCATCT